TCAGGAAATACAGAAATGAACAGAAAAATTCAGAAAACGAACAGAATGTAAATATCTGTGATGATCCGTGATGTAGGGAACGATTGACATGGCCTTGCCGGTCCTTGCTGACCGCAGACCACCCCCTGACCCTAGAGTTCCGCGATGGCGGCGGCGGCGTCCTCCAACAACCACGCCCTCCCTCAAGTCCTGCCCTGACGTGAACATCATCCTAATTAACAAAGATAAATTTAGTAGCACACATGCAACATAAGTTGGTAATAGCTTGTTTGAAAAATAACACAAATACTTCAACGACAGTGAACCTGAAGCAAATGTTAACCAACATGGAGGAGTATAGGAACCTTCTTTAGGTGTTCAGATTACAACGGGTAGTCCGGTTCATCGTCAGCATCTGAGTCATGCCGTGGGATCCGCAAGCTACATCTGCTGTGTTGGCGACATCATCGTCGAAGAGAAGTACCTGATCCTCACCATAAGAGCAACCAGGAAACATCCATTGACTCGATCAACAATATTCAAGAGCCTGAAAATACAAGGACGGCCGACCATATCAGGGTGTGGCAATAATCTACTCAACCCTGCTACCATCAAGCAAAAGAAAATAAACCTTGAAGCTACACAAACAACTAGTATCCTCAGGCACAAGAAATGAAAGCTTGAAGCTACATAAATATCAACTACCTTACAGAGGCAATTTGGTTCATTTAAAACCATTATTCGGAAATGAAAACAGTAGTTAGGAGAAAAAAAATTATACATTCAATTCACCACGCAAGCGCACAAGCAAAGTAGTAGTACTCAGATTCAGCCTTGGTACCTCAACAACGTCAAGCTACCCACCGTACAGGGCCTAAGGTGAGCATTCCCTGCCATTCAAGAAAAGAGTGGATTAGAAAATTGCACCCTTGAATTATCTCCATGAAGGTAAACCCATTCCTCAAGATTCATTTTTCTGTTCTAAAGTTCATGCATAAAAATCGCAGGGGCACAAATCAAACTGTACGCTGTCCAAACCTGGAAGAATACATGGTATCAAATGGAATGAGGGAAGCTCACCTGAGACTGAGAATCCATAGACGGGCATAGCCTTCGTGGCTGACAGGGGCGGAGGAGGGAGGGCGAGGCACACGCTGTACGAGCTCGCAGGGCCATACGTGACGGCGGCGGTGGTAGTTGCTTGAGGTCGCTCGAGCTCCCCATCTTGAAAAGGGGAGGCGGCATGCTGTGAGACGAGACAACGAGACGAAGATTGGATCGAAAAATTTCTGGGATACGGGTGGCGGCGCATCGTGTGGAGCATTGGGGCAGCGATGCGGCGGTGGTAGAAGGAGGATCAGGATCTGGCCGGTGAACCTCCTCCTCCCCGATGGAATCTGGCCGGTGAATAGCGCTCGTTGGCGGCGGAGAGGATCTGCGCGGGGGGCAGGAGCAAGCCGTCAAGTGGGGTACTCACCAACATGGCGGAGTCGCGAGATCTCCTTGGCGCGTCTCAGCCAGACATCGGCGGCGGAGGCTATGGCGGCTGGGGCATTCTTGACAATCGATGTAGGAAACAGATCGAGGGGGCGGCGGCGGAGCAGTAGGGGCGGCGGCGGAGTGGGAGAGAGGTCGCATCTGGATCGAGAGGAGGGTGTGTCGTACGCGCGCGCCCGCCGCCGCTCGAGCCGCCGCCTCAGCTCGTCCAACGCCGCGCCCTGCCGCACCGACTCCCTCCTCACCTGCTCGAGCGCCGCCTCGAGGCGGCGCGCCAGGTGTGCCCGTTCCTCCGGCGATGTAGAGGAGGGTGGAGGTGGCTGAGCGGGTGATAGTGGAAGGTGGGAGGCGGCGGCGGCGGAGCGGGGAGATTGGGGCGGCATTGCATCGCTAGACGAGGGAGATAGGGCGGCCGCATCGGGTGGATCGGGACACGGATGGTGGCGTATGTTTTTTTTTTGTTTTGCACGGGATGGTGGGAGGTGGGCAAAGGTTAACCGACGAAAAAACCGGACGAAAATGGTGGGACGAAAATTGACCGGCGGAGACTACCAATTACTCTATTAGGAGTAGAGATGGGCCCAGAAGTGCAAAGCCCAAACAGGTCGTGTACTGTACTTCTCCGACCCGACAAGGAAAAAAAAGAACGCCGCGGAAGTGAAAGAGCTCGATTCAGAAGCTAGGGTTTGGGGAGAGCAGCGGAAGGGGGTACCAGCCGGCGGCGATGGCGTCGGAGGAGGATGTGGCGGTGAAGGAGCCGCTGGATCTCATACGGCTCAGCCTCGACGAGCGCATCTACGTCAAGCTCCGCTCCGACCGCGAGCTCCGCGGCAAGCTCCATGCATGTTTCCTCGCCCCTCTTCGTAATTTCTGCTGTCGATCTGGTAGCTTTCGCTGCCTGAGCTTGGCTGCGTGAGGGATCTTGTTTATGTGTCCACTATGTGGTTGTGCTGCCTTATGTATTTTAATACTAGCTGATATTAATGCATAGAGAAATGAGTTGCCGTGGTCTTGTGGTGTGTAAACAGACTTTCCGGTTGAACTGGAAGACATCAGAACCCAAATTTATCTGTGTAGAGACTCATATGATGTACCCTTTTTCCCTTCCATTGGATATAAATGCGAGTAGAAGCTTTCGTTATGGACATCAACAATAACCGTTTACATTAGATAAAGCTTAACATGCTGATTCGAAAGTTTTCTCGATTAGTGGAACCAGATGAATTGCAATGTGTGTAGTATTTTAATTTTGAGTTCATAGAAATATGTTGGATTGTGGTGGCAGAATCATCTCGGCATTTCAATGCAAGACTTTGGGCATCATTTTCTAGGGATTGGTTGATCTTTGTATTTATCTTGTCAGATTCTGTTGAATAACTTAATAAAGATGGCTGCATGCATCATTTTGATGCAGAGGCCGGGGGTAATCCTCCTTTAAAAAAAGAAAAAAAAAAGGAAAAAAGAATGGCGGCTTACTTTAGAATAAAGCATAACATGCTGGTTTCAGAGTTTTATCGATTAGTGGAACCAGATGTCTTGCAATGTAGTATTTTAATTTTGAGTTCATAGAAATATGTAGGAACGTAATGGCAAAATCATCTCGGCATTCCAATGTAAGACTTCGGGTTGCTTAAGTTAAGAGGTTATAACTTATTACCCGCTGGGCATTATTATCATTTCACCGATTCATTACAATTGTATACCTGGAAAAAACATCTGTGGGTTATATGATGCGCCCCATGGGCCATACACTGTATTAATGCATTGTTATTCAGTTGTACTGACAGCTGGGAAATTTGACCCTGGGGCATCAGCATGGCCACTATTTGAGATTCTCTGTTTCTAAGTTTCCTTTATTCTTCCTTTGATCCAGGCTTATGATCAACATCTCAATATGATACTTGGAGATGTAGAAGAGATAGTGACTTCCATTGAAATTGATGATGAGACTTACGAGGAGATTGTTCGTGTAAGTACTTTCTCGTTCCTCGAAATTTTGAACTGTATGCTGATGTGAGTTTGTTCAAATTCAGACCGTCGACTACTGTTTGTGCCAAATCAAAATCATTAGTTATTCCAATATGTTTATTTAGTTTGTGTTAATGATGTGTAGAGCCTCTGGAGTGAGGGTTTGGCACGATTACCCTGATACTGCTTAACATTAAGTCGTGTCTCACACAATCGTCAGTTCTGCACTCACATGTAATTTGGGAGGCGCATTGTTTTACCATGATGCTGCTTAACGATAACCCAGTGTCAGTTGCATAGTAACGTGTAAAATGCTTTGTGTTTATAAATGAGCAGTCTTACCTGCTTGTATTCTGCTGGTAACACTTGTGTTATATTGCATAATAAGCATAGCACCAATTTCTTTTGTTTACAGTTATTGTAGTCAGGGTTTTTAACTTATTTAATGAAACTTTCTTCCACGTATTACTAGATGTACTATGTGGCTCATGTCACTATGGTCACTTAATCACTTTACAGTGTATATGATAATTCATCTTCTTTTACTATTGAACCTGGTTACTTGTTTTCTTCATTTCGTTAACTTTTAAAATTCTGTGTGGTCACCGTTTCCATAGTTTGGGGTAATTCGATACAACAGCACAAAATGGTGTCAGATACTTTTGGCTGCTGATATGCAATAGATTTACTACTGACTTATATTCTCTATTCCAATGATTCCAGACCAGCAAGCGCACCATCCCCTACCTTTTTGTCCGAGGAGATGGCGTGATACTGGTTTCGCCGCCCTTGCGGACCGTCTGATGGCGTGATACTGGTCTCGCCGCCCTTGGGGACCGTCTGAAGTCAGGGCGGAACAACTACCATTCAATGGGCATTGGCAGCAGCGCTATCCGGATGACATGCATCAGCTTATACTCCCTCCGTTCTAAAATAAATGATTCAATTTTATACTAACTTTAGTATAAAGTTGGGTCATCTATTTTGGAACGGAGGGAGTACATGTTATCTGGAGCATTACCGGCTCGTGAGACACTGCATAACTTGAGTTAATCAATCATCCATGTATCCTGATACAAAGAGAAAACACTGTACTCACATCTGTTATGTAGATGGATCTGATTCAGGCACCTGTTCATCCATTAGACCATAGTCGAGGGAAGCTTGAGTTAATCATTCCTCTCCCAGCGCCTACCTCTGAATGGCATCTAGCAGCATCAACATTCACTGCGCGTTCCCAGTTGCGGTTCACGGCGAACTGATTTTCGTGCTACGATATGAAATGTAATAAGTCAAATTCGCGAAACAAAAACCGGTGGTGGTGGGTGGGTCACTCCTTCCAGCCGGGCGAGACCCCCCCAAAGCTGACACGATGATCACGGCACGTCGATGAACATGGCGCCGTGTGCCCCCCATCACGAGAAAACCAATTTAAATTTGACCGCAGCATCGTGCCGGTGGCAGCTTTTTATGTATTTACTATTACTATTATTTACGTATATGTACGCATGAACGATGGCGCCTAGTGCGCTGTGAGTGACCGGATGCCTTGATCCATGCACGTTCCGCATGTGCAGGGATTCTGCCCGGCCAGTTGCCCAGTTTGTTTACACCGTTTATGTTTTTTGTTGACGGTGCGGGGCCGAAGCTTCGCACCGGCACGGCACCGCATGCATCCGACGACGACGCGTTCACCGCTCGTCCACCCGCCCCGCCAACTCCTCTCCTATATATGCACGCCGGGCCGCGGACGTTTCGGCCATCCCGTCCTCAGAGCCGCGCAACGATCCAGCGCACACAGCAAATTAAGCAGCGACCTCCTTCGATCGAAGATGAGCCAGGACAAGGCCGCCGGCGAGAAGGCGGCGGCGGAGCCCAAGAGGCAGACGCCGCGGCTCAACGAGCGGATCCTCTCCTCCCTCTCCCGGAGGTCCGTCGCCGCCCACCCGTGGCACGACCTCGAGATCGGTGAGCCCCTTCCCCATTTCGTCTCAGATCCGGAGCTGCTGGTTGGTCGCTCACGCGGAACGTATGCTGATTAGTTAATCTTTGCGTGAATTGGCCGGTGCAGGCCCTGGCGCTCCGGCGGTGTTCAACGTGGTGGTGGAGATCACCAAGGGGAGCAAGGTCAAGTACGAGCTCGACAAGAAGACCGGGATGATCAAGGTCTGCAGTCTGCGCCCGCGCGCATTCCCTTCCCTCGCCTCTCTCAAACCCTTTTCCCTGTTAATTTGCATCGGCATGGATCGTGGATGTGTTCTGAGATGTGAGATCATCATCTGCCTGCCAGGTCGACCGGATCCTCTACTCCTCCGTGGTGTACCCTCACAACTACGGCTTCGTCCCACGCACCCTCTGCGAGGACAACGACCCCATCGATGTCCTCGTCCTCATGCAGGTGAGTGAATCGACCAACACTCCAATCATCGTCCTGTCATGACAAGTGCAAATTAACAATCCTGTCAAGGCATCACCGTCTGCATTACCCACCGTTCTTTTCTGACAACCGCGTGTTAATTAATCATTTCTTTTCTTTTCTTTTCAAACCAGGAACCAGTCCTCCCCGGCACCTTCCTCCGGGCCAGGGCCATCGGCCTCATGCCCATGATCGATCAGGCACGCTGAACCAATCCCCTCATCCCTGTCCAAGCGCACAAGTCAACTTTCCAGCCACCATTTTGGCATCAAGCTTATATTCATATCATACTCTCTGTTTTTTGTTTTTCTTAAACAGGGAGAGAAGGATGACAAGATCATAGCCGTCTGCGCCGACGACCCCGAGTACCACAACCTCAACCATCTCAGCGAGCTCTCTCCCCATCGCCTCCAGGAGATCCGCCGCTTCTTCGAAGATTGTACGCATGCCATTCCCTGCATTATATATCTTGCATTTCCGCAACCTTTTCATGCATCTTCAGGCTTCAAGTGCCTGATTCTTGGCTGATCAAATCTTTCAGACAAGAAGAATGAGAACAAGGAGGTGGCTGTCAACGACTTCCTCCAGGCCGATGATGCCCGTGCTGCCATCCAGCACTCCATGTAAGCTCTCGCCATTTTGGACGATGATCTGTAATCAAGCTCAAGAGGCATTGAGGACCGAAGGCGTCGATCTATGCTGACCTAAATTGATTTGTTTCTTTTCAGGGATCTGTACGCGGAATACATTATGCACAGCCTAAGGCAGTAGAGTGTGTACTATTACTATTTTTCCTTTGCCCTTCCTCCTATGATGGGATGCAAAGAAGATCCCCTCGGAACATTTGGGGTCTGATGAACAACCAAGCGAGCCTGTATTTCTACATTCTTGCTTTGTATTAGCCATATTTTCCCATTACTGTGGCACTATGTATCTCAAATTTGTATTCGAGACCTTGTGGTTTGGCTCGTGTATTATCTTCAGTTCTTACTGGACGGACAATAATATAACAATTTATCACATTGATGTCTGAGATACTGTGGTAATGCCATATCTCAAATTTGTATTCTAGACCTCGTGGTTTGGCTCGTGTATCTTCAGTTCTTATTACTGAAGGAACAATAATATAACAATTTGTCACATTGACACATTGATATCTGAGATACCGTAGTACTACCTATCTCAAATTTGTATTGAAGACCATGTGGTTTGGCCCGTGTATCATGTTCAATTCTTACTATATGAACAATAATATAACAATTTGTCACATTGATATACAGTATGAGCTAAGTGTTTTTTCACCCCTTGTCAGATTGACCATTTTTGGTCTCCAAACTTCAAATTGAATAAGCTAACCCCATCTTTTTAATTCTGGATATTGTGTGTCCCTCGTTCCATTTGGAGTCGTACCAATGCTGAGTTGCTGACACAGACTAGTTTCCTGAGCTGAGAGGACAGTGGCCATCCAGGTCATCTTCCGTATCATCATGTACTTGTAGAATGGATGCTAAACAAATTCAGAAGTTTATGCCTATTTGTTTACTGAGTGAGTTTTAAAATAATTACTAAAGTGTCGATGAATAGACTTAGCAAAGTGGTGAGCCCTGTCATCTCACAAACTCAGACTGGTTTTGTGAAAGGAAGATATGTCGTGAAAGGTGTGGTTGTTCACTTGTTCTACATGAAGCTTTAAATTCTATCCATCACCGGAAACAAAATGCCCTTTTGTTTAAGGTTGATTTTGAAAAGATTATGATAATATAAATGTGGCCTTTTGTCTATCAAATGTAGGAATGTAAAGGTTTCCTGATAAGTGGTCTGATTGGATCACGTATACCATGAGAGGAGGTCATGCAGGGCCTAACTGGCCATGGGCCAGGCCGGGCCGGGCTTGGGCTGGGCCTAAAAAAGCCCATGGCAGAAAATTGAGGCCCATGCCCTACCATCGGGCCTACTTTTCAAGTCCAAGCCCGGCCCATCTAGTAAAAAGTCCTGAAAAGCCCTTAGGGCTTAGGGCCGTGGGCCGGGCCTCTTCCTTAAAATGCCAATATGCCAAGCCCAAGCCCGTTCAGGCCCTGGTGGTGGGCTCAAAACTCAAGCCCAAGCCCGGCCCACGGGCAAGCCCATCGGGCCTAGGCCCTGGATTTTAGGGTCGGGCCTGGGTGGGCCGACAGGGCTGGGCCGGAGATGACCAGGACTATGTAGGGGTCAAGGTAAATGATAACACTGGTCCTTATTTTACAACTCATAAAGGCTTGAGGCATGGAGATGCCCCCTCACTTTATTGTTTGACTTGGCCGCTGATGCTTTGGCCATTATTATGGACAAAGCTATAGAATATGATTTTGTCAAGGGTGATTTGAGAGAAATTTTAGATCAGGGACTTAACATGTTGCAATATGCCAATGGCACAATTTTCCTTTTGCAAGATGATGAAAATAGTGGCAGATATATAAAATTTATCTTATGTGCAGTTGACCAAAATCGGGACTGACTATTAATTTCCACAAGAGTGAGCTTTTCGTTAGAGAGGCTACGTAAAAAACTACTCCCTCTTTATCAAAATGTATCATAGTGCAAAAAGTCTTATATTAAGTTAGAGAGGTAGTAGATTATATCAAGAAATCTTCACATGTGAACTGGGCTCCATCCATTTAAAATATTCGGGATATTCAAACATTAGGATTAAAAATAATCATTGGAAAGTGGTCACTGAAACAAATGAGAAAATGTGTGCTTGTTGGCAAGGGAAATTACTGAACAATGCTTGTTTGACTAGCATTCCTTTATTATGATGTCTTTCTATCCCATAGCTGTTGGGGTGAGGAAGGAAGGTGATTTTTTTAGCTAGGCTTGTTTGGCAAGTTGACAAAGATAAAAAATATTTGGTAAATTAGAGAACTTATTGTGAATCAAGGGGGATTGAGGATTCTAATTTTTTGATTTCATGAACAAGGCTCTACTTGCCAACTTGTTTTGGAAGTTAGAGACTAAATCTAGGTTATGTCAATAAGTGCTTTTGAATAAATATGTGAAAGGACAATGCTTGATATTAAAACAAATGTGTGATACTCACACTTTTGGACTATCCTTTTGAAAGTTAAGGAATGTTTTACCAGCATTGCAAGAAAGTAACTAGACATGGAAAAAATACTAGATTCTAGAAGATTGGCAGGGGAAATAAACCTCTGAGACACTCTTATCCCATGCCTTATTTTCTTACCTTTGATCATAACATTTCTGTGGCTGGTGCTATTAGAAAGGATGGAAGATTTTACCTTCAGAAGAACTTTGTTTGGTGAAGCTCTGGAGTTTTCGAATAATTTGGAGGTGGGATGTGAGGAAATTACAACGACATCGGGAAAAGATGCTTACTACTAATAGGAATTTTACTGTCGGATCTCTCTACCAATATTTGATCAAGTCTGCTTATGGTTTTCCACATAAAATTTTATGAAAATTAAAATTCCTTCTAATTTTTTTCATTTGGTTAATGGTAAAAAAGCATTCTTACTAAATGTATTTTTGCTTAGAATGGGAAAGATAATAAAAGTTGTGTTTTTTGTGGTCAAGATGATTAGATGAGTCTATTTATGATTTGTTTTTTCAACGCTCTACTGCTAGATTGATATGGAGTCTTTTGAAATGTGCTTTTGCTCTTAATTGCACCCCTGCTTGTCTTTTGAAGGATGGATCAAAAGCTTTCCGAAGCATGATAGACATTTGGTGTTGGTGGGTATTGCGGCTATGTTTTGGGCTATATGGAGATGTTGAAATGATATGATTTTTGAAAGAGGAGTATCAATGATCCAATGACTATGATCAAGCTAATGTGTTCTTGGATTTTAGATTGATCCATTTTTAGATAAAGGAGGCACGCCAAAGGGTGGAGTGGGTGGCAAGTGAGGTTTACTTGGCATCAGAGGGCATAAGACCGGGAGTGCTTCGAATTGTTAATGACTTATAGAAAATGGTGTTGATGATCTCCTACTTTGCTGGCATTCGCAATGTTGCTCCTCACGGCTGAAGCCTCTTTTCTTCCTATTTTTCTCTTATACACTGGTTACTAGCTTATGATATAAAACTGTCATATTTTAGTTGTAATCAGAGTCTGGAGGGTTTCTTAACCATTAGTTGGGCCTCCCATTGGATCTTGCATGGTTCTCTTTTGCGCGATTCCTTGTATCCAAGCGTTGTAAGATTTGACTTGCTGAAGTTTGTTTGGAGTCCTTGATAGTTGTAGTTTGTAGTATGTATAAACAAGACTATGTGAGTTCTTTATATGAAAATGAAGTGGATGGCCTCTCTTGTGCTAAAAAAATATCTACTTGTAGAATATTCTGCGGAGGAAGCATTTCGCTCTCACTTTCCTGCCTCTACAAATTGCTCTTCGCACTGTCCACACACCGCATGTGCTTGTTGATATGCTCATTTCGGTAATTGATGGAAAACATTTAAGTGACGAATGTGTCTACTAAGTATGTAAATATGTTATTTTCATTTACTTTCATTTCTCTATGAATCTTGTGTTATTCTAAAGTTGCATTCAACCATAGGGAAGCCGCAATAGTAAGAGAGGGCAAGGAAGACGAAACTATTCCCTATGACCCGCCAATCCAATGCATGGTGATCCGCTAGGACTGAGATGTCATCCTCTCTATCACTTATGTGCTTATGCGTGACTGATCATGCTCTCTACTGGTATCTCCTACAACCATGTGACCATGTGCGATAGTTCCTTGCGCATACACCGCTTGTAGTAGCAATAACCAACATGCAACCACATGTTTTTGCACCTTCTCCAATGATTGAACGCACCAAAATCAGAGTTTGAGTGTGGTCAGAGGACCAGGGAGGCCTATGAGGCCCTCACCCAACCTATCTGACATCACTAGACCAACACTTACCGCTTGAAGATTATACAGTGAACATCGGCTGAAAACAAATCACATTCATTCAAACCTTTCCGGCCAATAACATTGTGACAGTTGTAAGTATAGTAATACAACAAAATACTTACACTACTGTACCAACCATAATTACATAGTAATAGATACTGGAAATTATGTGCAACCAAACTGTAAAAAAACACGCTTTTACACATTTTGGTTCATACTTACAATCTACAATACAATGTAACTTGTGTTTCCCAATGAGAATACAACCAAAGGATTAAGAATCAAAATTGAGAAAACTAGCACACCGGTAGGGACCCAGCTATAATTCCAAAAGGCTTGACATTGAAGCTCATAAACAAAACAACTGTAAAAGTTAGTACCTAAAATAGTAACGCAAAGATAAGTATTGGTTAGAACAACACTTGTGTTACAACTGTAACAAAAGAAACCACAACTAAAATTTAGGGAGAAAAAACAAGAGAAATGATAGAAAATCTATTGACCATATAATCATTTATAAAAAAACGCTATCAAACACTATGCCCTTCTAAGATAACAACGCATAATAAAGTCATTGCTACCTACCAATCGCCACAATGCTTATAGTCCAGAATCAACCATAAATACATAGAACTAGACACATGAATTCATGTTCACAGAAAAGGCTAGAAAACATAAATGATTGTTGGTTGTTGAGACTAACATGAAGAGAAAAATATATTGAAATATATACCCAAAAAATCATGTTGTATGGCAGGGAGGACATGATGAGGTTGTCTGGATTGAAGCCATGGGATGGGCGCCCTGCCAACTTTTTGGCGTTGATTGAGCCTTCCCTACGCGTTTGGATGGACGCCAAAGAATTGGTGCACC